ATAAAAAATCTCCGGTAAAACAAGCCAAATTAGAAGTGGGCGTTTCAAATTAACGGTCAAGTTTTTTTGTATACCAAAATAAATGAAATTGTTATCTTGGCAATCAATCTCTCTGAAAGTACAAATGAAAATATGATTCCTTATTGTGTTGAGAACATTTAATTCGATTGAATATTAAGTTCCGTAATTATTTCTCAATAATTGAACAACTTTCTGTAGAGACACTGCCGGGAATGGTGGTTCAAGTAATAAGTTGAAGGATGTGTAGTAAGCCTTAGAAAGGAGGATCTCATCATCATCATCATCATCATCATCATCATTTCAACCATAGAACGTCCACTGCTGAACGTAGGCCTCCCCCAATGATTTTCACAAAGGCCGATCGGTAGCGGCCTGTATCCAGCGCCTTCCTGCTACCTTTATGAGGTCGTCGGTCTACCTTTTGGGTGGACGTCCTACGCAGCGCTTTCCAGTACGGAAAGGTTTACCTGAATGACCTATTTTATTTTTATAATCGTTCTTCGTCATTTATTTGTAACTGAATTTGTGTTTGTCTTCCAATCTAAACTGAATGAGATCTATTATTATCTATTTGTATTGCATTACTTTCTTAAAATAACGGCTATTATACTTAATTAGATATAATATTAAATTCTTTAGAAAAGTTACAGCTGGGTTAAGTTTCATACGATACAGATATTTTGAAATCATGACAATGATAAAATTGATTTTCCTAAGTTGATATCAATACGTTAAATAAATGTGCATCTGATGAAATATGATTTTAACTTATAGACCGTGCAAAAGAGATTTAATTTTGACGCATATTAAGGCTGAATTGTACCATCTTATTTTAACCGTGACTTTTATTTTTATTTTATTTTATTTTATTAAGGAAAAACAAACAGTTGTACAATAAGAATTACAATTAAAACCTTATGTAAACATTTAAGTAATTATACAACCAACACCGTTATCCACAAGAGGACTGTGGGTCTAGAATGCGCGCCGCGAAACGATGCAACCGCGCGATTTTATCGATTTAACGTGATAAGTCCATACATTTACCATCCAAAATAATTGATAAGATTCTATCACGGAGCGCACTATATACCTACTGTATCTACTAATAAAAGTGAAAAGGCACAGATAGAAAAAACAAAGATACGAGTATTAAAGCACAAGACGTGCCAGACGTGCGATTCTATAAAGTTAATAAAAACAAAGGAAACATTATTTTTGAAGAGGAAAACATAAAAACTGTTTTTCACTAAGTACCTGCTTAAATTTACAATTCTTTTGTCGTTTGTTAAAGTTAAAGTAAGACGGTGCAACCTAGCCTAAGAGTCCCCGACGAAAACAGGCTTTTTGTCGGCCGGTAAGTCAAGTCAAGTCAAACCAGTCGATTCCTCATACAACTTAGAACTTTCTTTAGAACTTATATTGGCGACACTACAACTAATAAAAAGCTTCCGACGTCTCTCAGGAAAATTGAAATTTATTATTAAAACTAAGAACACTTTTATGTTTTCAAGACCACTCGATTCCTTTAAAAAAGTCTCTCAGTGTGCTTTGACGACCGTCTTTCAGTTCGTTCATTTTATATGAATAGGAAACCGCTTTTTGCATCTAAGAGCTATAAAGGAATATTAATTATTCCATTTCGTAATTTGAAAATGACTGCTATTTGCAGTTGCAGGTGAAGTTTGTTGCGAAATCGTACCATGGCGTCCCTAAAAGTTTTGATTCATTATAACATTGTTAACTGCTGTGATATTAAGTACGAATGATGGCGGCATATTCAGCTAGATTTTAATTTTAATAAGTCTACTTCCTGCTAGTATTATAAATGAGAATTTTGTAAGGATGGATTTAGGCGCTACTGAACCGATTTAGACGGAATTTGGTACAAAGGATAGTTTTTATAATGCAATAAAGACTTTCTGGGACAGCCTGAAATTCACGTAGGCAAAATACTCGTAGATAACGGACAAAATCTGGTTTTGCAATAAAAATGTGTAGTCTGTCACCAACTACTTACCTTTACAAAAGGTTTATTTTTATATAAGCTCGTCGTATTTTAGCAACACTAGAAAAAATACGCACACTATTCTAGCGAATGCTCGCATCAATTACACGTACCCACGTAAAACACTCAAATTGTAATTGACACGCGGCACAATGAACAATTTAATTGATAACGATTGCTTTCGACAACGATCAACAAAAGGTTTCCTAACTGACGAAATTATGCAAATGTCGCTACGGTTCTATAGTTATGTGTTTCATACGTGAATTTCGCAACCGATCTTTAATACGTTGTTCACCTGTACGTGATTCTATTCTGTTACAGCCCAAAGATAACAGTTATTTCATTTTAGATAACTCAATAAAGCTTGGCGTAGGTCAGTAGCCAGTAGCCGGTGGCAATACTTTTTCTTTCTTTGTGATGGCAACTGTTATGTCACGAGTTTACACACGGGTAATTTGGTACCTAATGAAAGTTGTCCATACTTTGAAATGTTGTCCACAAAAAACGCCGACACTAACCAATTACCTATGACTAATATTTGTATAAACATACTTAAATTTATGATTGCAACGTGAAATAGATACTTAATCATGCATTAACTCAGCATGATTAAATCTAATTAATAATAAATTATTAGTCAAATTCTTTTTTGGTGGACTTGTAGGATTGAGTTTTTAGTCTGAAATCACTTCAATTATGATTTTCTGTTCTATTTTGTTTGTGATTACCGTAAACGATTCGGCTTTCTTACTTGGGCTTTGTTATTATATCAATTATCATGCATAAATAGGTCAAAGTTGATTACAGTGAAGTTTTCAATGACTTTAGGAACCAAAATTAACTGTTTTCAAAAGGATCTAATAATTACTTTCAGTGTTTCCATTGAACGGTCACTTTATCATTGTAGAGCCAAAGCACATCAAAGTATACACTTTTGTTGCAAAGTCAGTTATAACAAAGTTAATGTTTTATATTGTGATCAAAATAATATACATTCTATCACGATTCCTTACGTCATTTTTTGTAAGTACAACATTAAATCCTTGCAAAGAGGATTCTTTGAAAGAGGATAAGTAGGATACTATCTTACTAATATTATAAATTTTAATGTTTATGAGGATGGATAGATAATGAATGGATATTTGTTGCTCTATCACGCAAAAAATACGGAACGGATTTGATGAAATTTTACAGTTTTATTGTTTTATTACAATGATATTATAAATTCACACAGGCGAAGCCGAGGGCAAAAGCTAGTGCATCTAATACGAAGAACATTTTGGTAACAACAGAAAACTAATTTTCCCAAACTCAAACCAAATCATGACTAATACATACTAGGTCACTACAATCGCCATTGTATATTCCGTCCATTGATTGATTGCTGTTAACTACAACGATCAATCAGTTCACGTCAATAGGCAATTCCGCTTGTTGTAGGCAATTAATAAAACTTGATAATTAATTTGTAAGTTAATAATTACAAATGAGAGCACAATAAAATTACGGCGATCGCCTTTGATGGCTCAATGCCAATAATCGGCACGACAGAGGGTAATTGGAAAATAAATTGTGTGGACAGGACTTTACCGGACTGGCTTGGACAACAACACAAAAAATTTAAAGTTGTAATGTTGGCCATCAAGTAGGTATCTACTGGAAGTCTACCTCTAAGGTCGCAAAAAGAATCTCAGGCTCAAGTTAATTCAGCAATTTTACTAAAATATCGTCTATTTCTTGTACAGTCAGCGTTAAATAGTTCGTGACACCCAAAGTGGCCTAAAAGTAGACTACACAATCTTATTCCAATTGTAACCAAGACGTGTTGCGAACTTTTTGACTGCTTTGAGTGTCACTAACTATTAGACACTGACTGTACGTACCGGTTATGTCGCCAAGATAAAATAATTATTTTCTCTTTGTAAACTTTAACATGCTGCTCTACAAGTCCCTTTTCTAGGTAAGTTTCGTAAAAAAAACTGACTGCTGCTGCTCCAATAAAACTTCTAAACTTTAAAACTTTATGCTGTTTTTCTTTTTATTAGTGCTAATTTAATCGATTCTCATTGTTTATTACCGGCGAGTTCTCAAATATCAAACGCCAATACGAGTACAATGTAGTTATCTTTATTTCTAATATCGATATACCTACCTACATTTACTGGTATCACAAAGAGATAATTGCCTTGAAGTACTACGAATTTGTAGAGATGGTGGATTACGTAGAAGGAAACCCTACCCTACCATGTTGAGACTGCTTTCTTGAAATACGATCATATCGTTTGTCAAAGTAAACATACTGTTAACGAATTCGTAATTGGAGTTGAAGAAATTTAACATCGTACCAAACTGCCTCTTTAATACGCGTAATTAAGCCTAAACTATTGTCGTAAATTATCAGGGCAGTGATTAAAGGAATATAGCTTTTATGTAATTTGCGTGTATTATGGAGATCCGCATGAGAACCAAAGTAACCGACATAGCTCGCAGAATTGGTAAAATCAAGTGGCAGTGGGCGGGGCACATAGCTCGTAGGGACGATGGCCGTTGGGGCAGGAAAGTTCTCAAGTGGCGACCACGGGCTGGAAGACGTAGCGTGGGCAGGCCTCCTACTAGGTGGACCGACGATCTGGTAAAGGTCGCGGGAAGAGTCTGGATGCGGGCAGCGCAGGACCGTTCATTGTGGAAAACCTTGGGGGAGGCCTTCGTCCAGCAGTGGACGTCATTTGGCTGAAACAAACGATATTTGCGTAGGAGCAGCTAAATTATGTGGTATCTGAAATAGTGTCATTATAGCTATTATAAGAGGACATTGAAAGCAACAAGGTTTTAAGATTGATTCTTAACCATCCTCTTATCGCCCCTACTGTTATTATCCGCAATTATAGAAATTGCGGTCGTTATGTTGATATCTATAGAGATACCTACATAGTATTTAAGAGAAACTCAGAGATTTTTTTACATAGTGTCCATAGTTTACTAACATGTGCAAAGTATCATATCTCGCTCTTGGGCTAGTACTTTGTGTGGCGATTAATAACGGTATTTATGATGTATTTCACTTAATTACATAGGCACTAGCATTTATACATCAAACCCGAGGCTTTCTCTTGTTAGACCAAATGAACTGCCCGTTTATGCGCAAATTGTCAAATTCGCAAATTGTCAAAGCCGTTGACCGTTGGCCGTTTGATTGACCGTTTTTGACTGTAAATGACGGTCAGTCAAATTCAGCCGCTTTGGTCATTTTCAACACTATATTAGTGTCTCATCACCATCACCATCAGCATCAGGCCATTTTAATCTCCACTGCATGAGCATGACTGACCCTGGTCAGAGGGCTTAGTGTGAGTTTACATTAAACATCATCACTAGTGAACGCGTTAAAAAAATATGAAAATTTTAGTTCTTGAAAGTTTCCGCTAGGGGCGCTGTACAATTCGTCATACATTAAATGTAGTTTTTTAGGCGCTCACTAGTGACGACGTTGATGTAAACTCACACTACGCCCCCAGAAGGGTTGGGGATAGGCATTGTGTGTCTGAATCTGTCACGATCGATCAGACGTCGACTTAGCGTGCCATCGGAAGCATGGAATCAAAATAAATTTCTTCGGCCAATGAAATGTCCTCGGTACCAAAGTAGGAACAATTAGTTATGTAAGTAAATGGAATCGAATCCAGAACTTCCCGATAAAGTTTCACTCTCTTGTATCATGCAGCCATGGAACTTTATGGAAGTAAGTAAACTAAACATGAGTGTTAACTTTGTGACTTGATAGATTTTAAACTATCAAAAGATACGAACAAACATTTGTCTATATCATAGTTTGTTTCAATGGATTTCATTAAAGATGAACTTCATTACTTATTAATGAAGAAGGTTTTTTGCTAATTAAGCACGAAGTTAATTTAGAAGCGCTTTGTGAATCTGTGATTAATCGAAGCTTAGCCATCCATGGCTTTAATTTCGCTATAGTTTTATTTGATCAATGTAGCTGTTAATTAGTTTGAAAACTTTGATTAAAATAAAACTGAAGTCAAAGGTTTCTTTAAATAGTTTTAATAGAATCAAAGTAACTATAAAATGAAGCATCCAAGTAGTTTTAATGAACTCTTACCTTACATTGAAGAAGAAACAAATTAAGGTTCGGCCAAACCAACGCGATCAGCCTGCGTGCGCGATGGTGATGGGGATGGTTATCTATGTTTTTGTCTGATCGCCATCGTGCACGCTGCCTGCACGCGTAAAGTTTCGGCCAAACCAACGCGATCACACGCGATCAGGGCGTGCGGCGATGGCGACTAGACTTAAATGCATTGATCGCCATCGCTGCATGCCGGCTGAACGCGTGTGATCGCGTTGGTTTGGCTGAACCTTTAGTTTGGCGGAACTTTTAATGGGTGCGCAGTGGGCTTCATATTTCAGAGGTTGTTGTTACTGTTCTGAATTAAAATAATAGTATACTACCAATCTCTACCATCATAGGCAATAGATACAAGTTTATATTGAAAATGAAATTAATGTTTTCTCTGTAATTTGTTTGTGAAAATCAGAAAGGAATCTAATCTCATCACTTTTTATTTCGTAAAATTAAGTTTAGTATTTATATTCATGTAACATACTCGATATTTTTTCTGCCCCAACGGCCTTAAGGCCCTGTGAGCCCTGTGCTAGCCCACTGCCACTAATTTTAGCAACGGCGAGCTATGTCAGGGACTTTTGATTCTCCTGCGGATCTCATTTCTGATTCGATCACGCAGGGATACTCCGAGATTTTTTTCAAATTTCCAAGAAATTTCCTTATCTAATAATATTTTTCATTCGCAGATGTATTAGGCAAACGACACGGACATGCCGTCAAGAATAACGGGGGCAAGATTGTGGGTGGGTACAACGACACCATCCAGAATGTTCCGTACATAGTTTACCTGTTGGTGCTGATGGGGACTGACTACTACCAGTGCGGCGGGTCCATCATCAGCTCGAGGTATATCCTGACAGCTGCGCATTGTCTCACTGGGTAAGCTTCAAATTATTATTTCAAAACATAATAGCTTAATCTAGGTATTCCTAAATAGCTCAATAATGAATAATAATAATAAAAAAATCGGATATGTGATACTATTCTGGCAGTCTAACTCGTGAAACCCTAGTGGTCGCATGAGACCGCGGTAACAATTGATTTCTATTGTCTCCATTCGCTGTACTTGAAGGGTTAAAAACATACTTGTGAGGAACCCTAAAATGACTTCATTGAGTTGCAGTTAGGGCGAACACATTCTCTCTAACATGTTAAAGGGTCCGGAATATAATAAAGATAAGATAATAAGCGATAACTTATATAGATATACTCTGATGACAGTAAATCACTAAGGCTGGGTTGCACCATCTTACTTTAACTTTGACAAACGTCAAAAATCTGTCAAACTCCATACAAAAAGCACCGTTGTTGTCATTGTTAAGGTTAAAATAAGATGGTGCAACTGAGCCTAAGACTTAAAAAGAACGGGTCAAGTAGATAGAAACCTGACTGCTAAAACCTGATGATGTTCTTCTTAATGCTATCCGCAGAGTATCAAGAGTGTACGTCAGAGCAGGTAGTGATGACTCCGAGAGCGGTGGCAAGATGTCCTCTACCTCCGTCTACAGGCAGCATCCTCAATACAACCCGGCGACCAGCGACTATGACGTGGCCGTCGTCAGGCTGACCAGGCCTCTGACCCTGGACGGAACCACAATGAAGGCGGTGACGTTACCAGAAGCAGGGCAGGAGGTGCCGGCTGGCACTGAGCTGTTCGTTTCTGGGTGGGGAGATACTACCGTAAGTTTCAACAATAAAGTTACGTAATAATAATGGACTGGACAGAAATTAAAAGTCATCGACATAGCCCACCAGATAAGCAAGCTGAAGTGACAGTGGGTGGTTAAATCAGTCGAAGAATTGATAACCGCTGGAGTAAACGAGTTCTTGACTGAAGACGGCAACTCAGCAGAACGCGTTTCGGTTAGGTGGAGTGACGACATGCAAAAGGTCATGAGACAGAAGCTGGATGCGACAATACAGTACAACAACAATACAGGAGAGGGCTATAATATAAACCCACAGCTAACTAACCAGATGGGGCATAGCTGCGCAATAAAACTCGGTCTTTTACTTTTTTTAAATTATTTTCCTTGGACATTTTACACTGCGCTTCTAGTCCCAAGTATTGAATACTTCTTTGTACACTGAATTTTTTTAACAGTTGAAAAACGGATTTTGTATTTCATTTCAGGAAAACGGTCAAACCAGCAGATATTTGATGTCGGTGAAGATACCCACAGTGTCGACAGCTGACTGCCGGCAAGCTTACGGCCAGAACGCAATCACTGAGAGGATGATCTGCGCGGGAGTGCCCGAGGGTGGCAAGGATTCTTGTCAGGTTTGATATTTTTACATACAACCCTTTATTGCCAGAAATGTTTAATATCAAAAAATATTGGACACATATATTTTTATTTGTCAATCTAACAAATAATTACATAGTTATGGTGCGTTGAAGTTGCACACGACGTCACAACGTGCGGCATTTTTAAGCAAGCGTTGACGTCACGGGCCTCTTCTTATGAACTTTGGGGCGCTTTATCTCTTTAAATTTTCATTAGTTTGAAAAAGTGAAAAATACGTGTAGAGTATTTTTTGATAAGTTAACTGACGGACTAATTAAAACTCTTGCTTTTTGACCCAGGCAACATCCCCATTGAGCACAGTTTTCTATAATAATTTATCACCTAGAGTGGATTTATGGTGAAATTACAAACAGATGCAAATGGACGTTGGGTCAGAAAAGTTCTAGAATGGCGACAACGGGCTGAAAGACGCAATGAGGATAGGCCTCCCACGGATCGATGGCCTGGTGAAGGTCGCGGGATATACCTAGATGTGGGCAGCGAAGGACCGGTCGTTGTGTCAATAGGGATGATGACTGGGTAATGAAATCGAAATTCTGTTTAGTCCGTCAGACAGATCGTTCGTTTCAGCCGAAAGACGTCCACTGCTGGACAAAGGCCTCCCCCAAGGATTTCCACAAAGACCGGTCCTGCGCCGCTTGCATCCAGGTACTTCCCGCGACCTTCACCAGATCGTCGGTCCACCTAGTGGGAGGCCTGCCCACGCTACGTCTTCCAGCTCGTGGTCGCCACTCAAGAACTTTCCTGCCCCAGCGGCCATCAGCTCTTCGAGCTATGTGCCCACTATGTGCACACTATGTGTCAGACAGATAATATTAGAAAATATTAGACTCATATTTTTTAATTTTTTCCATAGTCGAATAATTACAGTATTATATTGAGTTGAAATGTCGCGTGACGTCACTTTTGAGTAAAAATTCTACTCAAGCGTGACGTATCGCGCCATTTCAACTCGATGTAGCACTGTTATTATTTAATTATGAAAGAAAATAAAAAATAAGGGAGAGTCGGCTAATTTGGACCAGTTTTTTTCAATCCCATTTTACACATAGTTTTCTTTTGTTTTTGCTAATGTCCATGGTATATAATAAAAGATAAATTATTCAACTTACTATTTCATAAGTATTAATTAACATGATTGTTGTATATTTAGTTAGTCAAACATAATTACGCTATTATAACTTCAAAATATGATTTACTAAAAAAAAATCAAAATCCTTTGGTAAAGTTCCATACAACTTGATGTGGTACAATTTAGCCGACTAGGTGATAGTGCTTTTAAAAAATCGGTAAAAAATATAGCTTATAAATATCGAAAAATGTTCCAAATAATTGTAATCCACACTAATTTACGCTTCTAAATAATATATTAGAAACACCCTGTGATTAAATTTAACAAAATTACAATCCAAACATGTATTGTCAAAAGCTACTTGAAAACAATGAAAAAATACTTTTCAAAATAAAACACACGTTTGTTGTCACGGCAAAAAACACATGGCCGATATTAATTGAATTTAGTTGTGTATCGCTGAGTGTTGCAATTACAGACATTCAATAAATACTTTACGAAATATGAGGGTGGTACAATTTACCCGGCGGTACAATATACCGAACTCTCCCCTATGAGTCTAATATTTTCTAATTATCTGTCTGACGGACAAATAATTGAAATTTTGTCATCTAGCCTATTCGTGGGGGAGAACTTTGCGCAGTAGTCGACGTCTTTTGGCTGAAACGAACGAACAAAAACAAAAACACCATCTTTGTCACAGGGTGATTCTGGAGGTCCAGCAGTGAACGACGCAACGGGACTGCAAGTGGGCGTCGTCTCGTTCGGGACAGGCTGCGCCAGACCTGGTATTCCAGGAGTATACACGAATGTCTCTAGCGTGAGAGGCTGGATCAAGAGAAATACTGGCGTTTAGAACAATTTTTACAGCTGGAGTTGTAAGTGTAAAGTTTCAAAAGGTCAATACATCCCAATACAATTCAAGCAGCCTCAGTCAAATGACATTAGTAATTACAGAATTAAGTTGATATAGAGTAGGTAATTTTTGAACTGACTAACAAATGTAGCAGCAGTTACGTAATTGATAGAATAATCGCCTAGCAAGATCTTCGGGTGGAATTTCATCTGAGACAAGTAGATTTTGAAAAAAAAAAATACAAATACAAAAGAAAACTATTGTAATATTAAATATTTTATTCATGGAAATGTAAATTAGTATGTTTAAATTCACGATAACTATGTATAATGTTGACCTTGAAACTTTACGCTTGGAAATGATTTACTTAGAGTTTGTTATTTTTAGTCGATGTAATTATAATAAAGGCACTGTTTACTCCAAAAGCTTGTTTCGTTTGTTTTCAACCAAAATGTTTTGTGTTTTCTTTATGTCAAACTTTTTATTTGGTTTTCCCGTTCAATTTTAATCTCATCCCCCTAATGTATATTGATAAACATTATAATTTTGAAGAGAAACAAACTTTGTACTTACCAGACTTTGTTGGGAGTTGATGATAATGCACGAGTCACTTGAGAATAATAATAAAGTTGTGCTAAAATTAGCTGTCTATGTTGTTTAAACATGGTATCTTAAATTTTATGACATGAAAAATCAAGATGAAGTCACTTGTTAAGTACGCGTTATTATAATAAATTAGGTAATGGGGTAGGTACTTTTTAGGAAAACTTAATTATATAAAGCTAGTATTCAATTAAGCGCTACATGTTGACATATAAAAGACCTTACTCCCAGAGAAATAGTCAGATCTGTATGAAAAAACCGTTAACCCCACACGGCGTATGTACAAACAAAACTTCTGTAACAATCACCAAAGCAATCCATGTTTTGTTCCACGGGAAAACTCGCAAACAGGTTTTGTCAGAGAAACAAAAAAAACGAGCCGCCACAACGTGGTGCGTGCAAAAATGGAAATTCAAAATCTAATCCGGCAACCGGGTGGAACCGGTGAAAACGAAACTTTTCAATAAATGACAAAACTCACAATGAATACTAACGCGGAATCCCTTAGCATTTAAATGAAGGAGACCTGCGAAGTTCCAGTGTTGTGAAACTTTTTTAATTTTGGAAAGAACCAGGTGCTCGCTCACGTCACTTCGACAGAATCCCTTCTGGCTGCGATAAGGTGGGGAGGAATGTTATCGCTGTTTTAATTGAGGTTCTACTGATTAGCAACCTCGCTGAATAATCAGGTTAGGTACTCTTATAACTTAATTTAAGATTTACATTATCTTGAATAAATGGGTTTTGTAGCATTTTACCACTAGCGTTACCTTACCAATTGCTTTTGTGACGAAAAATGGCAAACAATTTTTTTGCGATATACTCGTAGGTTTTTCATTCTTCTATGAAAAAAGTAAGAATGACCCCTAAAAGTTATCGACTATTGAGGATGTTAGGATAAACTTTCAATGTACAGCGAATGTTAATGTGTCGTAATACCAAATTAATATTCTAATCAAGTCCTTTGCGAAACCATTTAGGCGCCAAGAGGGTGCAGTTTATGTTCCCTCCTCATTTCTATCTCTTCGCAATTTTAATACAATGTCGGATTTTGTAGGCCCGTATTCATAATTCTGACTTGTATAGATGTTAATTAATAATGCCTTGTTTTAGGTGATAATAAATATGTTTTAAAGTGAGACTATCGCTTTAAGACTTTTGAGGTATACAGGGTGTTTTGATTTTTTTCGCTAAAATGGAATGTTACGATTCAAAATAATTAAAATAAAGTTATATTGTTACATTGTTCTATAGAGCTTTATGAAAAATTGGATACTGAATGCAAAGTCACCCTGTATGTATTCATAGGTATGTATTTTGATTTTTGTCATCCATAAACGATGATGATGAACACAGACATAGTATGAAGACTTCAAAAGTCAAAGTAGGATTTGTTCAAAACACATAATCATTTATGTATTTGCATTCACATGAAAATAATAGATGTAACAAATGCGACAGTATCATTAGTCCTTCATTAATTTTCGTAATGAGTAAGCTGCTTAAATAAAGTCGGATTTGTCGGTTCACTACAAAACACGGAAGCTGTTTATTATAGGCGTGTTCCCGAATCTTAGGCCAGACGGATGAAAGGAAAGATAAATGAAAATGTAATTAAGCACAAGGAAAAGTTTTAAGAGAGCGTTAAAAAGTTTCTTAGCTCCGGCTACATTATTTATTTCTCTCCCGGGGTAATCTTGTTATTTGTTTGTTTGTTGTATTTCAGCTTTTTTTTTAATTTAAAGCATACTTAATGGGTGGGAAAGTATAAAGCCCGCAGCGTTCATCAGTTGGTTCTGTTCTTTCAGAGATTGGTGACTTGATTTGAAAAGTTTTAAAAACAGTGAAGTGGAAAAAGGTATGCACGAGGGAACATTAACAGTGACTTACCTTTTAATTTCTTTTTAATTAATTCATTTTTAACCCTTGATTAGACGAAAATGTAACTTCCGCGTAATCGAATTTTCTGTATGGTGGGTACTGTACCTCTAGTACGAAAAACTTTCGAGTTCGTTTCGTTGCGTATTCAAAGTGTCATCGAAAAATTTTGTATGAAAAATTAAACAGCGCCCCCTATATTATAGCCGCCCTAGGGGGCGCTGTTTAATTTTTCATACAAAATTTTTCGATGACACTTTGAATACGCAACGAAACGAACTCGAAAGTTTTTCCTACTAGAGGTACTGAGTTGACTATGAATTAATTTATGAAGACTTTGAAGTATATAACACCTACCTAGCTATATCTTTAACCTTGTTTAAAATCAGTTAAAATAAGGAAGCATCGTTACTCAGACGTCACGTAGTTAAAATAAACTGTTGCAATTTCATGCCTCATAGTAGTTTAGTACACACGTAATTATATTACAAAGCATTGCCTAATTCAATAAAGATCCGTGAATGTACGTTGATAGGTGACCTAGCTCTTAAAATAAGCGACTAAATATTTTTTATCATATCTACGTCACCAGGTAAGTACTACTGGCGAGTAAATTCCTGACACTCTTTCACTCTCTGGCACCAATTAGTGACGACAAATACATGGTTTTATTTCTTGTTTTACAGTTTGTGTAACATACAAAGTCAAACACGGCTGAGTTGCACCACCTAACTTTAACAGTGACTTTAACGATAACTGGTGTTTTTTTTTGTAGATTTTTGACGTTTGTTAAAATTAATTTAAAAAAAATTAAAGTCATCATCATCATTCATCATCATTTCAGCCATAGGACGTAGGCCTCCCCCAGTGATTTTCATGTTGATCGATTGGCAGCGGCCTGCGTCCATCACCTTTATGATGTCGTCGGTCCACTTTGTGGGCGGACGTCACATGCTGCGATTTCCCGTAAAGTTAAACTAAGATGGTGCAATCCAGCCATAGCTTAACCGAAAACTGTCCAGTCGCAGTCGTATTTAGCTGGATCTCTCCTACATTTAAGCTTATAAATTCTTCAAGCTGTTTGTATCTTTTTTCTACAATTTAGAAATCAACATCAATTCACCATGGCGCAAGCAATCGCAACGGACAAGAAAAAGGTGGAACTTAATTGCAAAATTACTGCGTTATTAGGAGCGGGAGAGGACGGGATAAAGTCGCCCGCTGTCAGTGCCGCCAACCCTTTTTTATTTACACAGTAATGCTTCAGTGGAAGTACTTGTGTTTAGGTTCAGTAGGTTCAATTTAATATGCTCTTTTCCCCTTTTTATTGATCTCTCTGATCTGAGGGTTCAATCCATCTATTTCATTGACTCTAAGGCTGAGGCTACCTAACTTTAACGGTAACATAACGATAACCGATTCTTTTTGTATGGAGTTTGACAGATTTTTGACGTTTGGTAAAGCTAATGTAAGATGGTGCTACCCAGCCTTAATGCCTTTTGAGCTCATCTGTAAGCTTTGGGAATCCACCAACCTGTAATATTATAAGTAGGTGTTTCTTCTTAGTGAATAAAGAAATTAAGCTATACAAACCTATCTCACACGACTTATAATAATGTTAGAGCTAAGATTGTTATTAAATAAATAAATAAATAAATAATTTATGGTCGCTAGGGTTCAGGAGATCTTCATGAGTAGTTTAAAAAGTAACAAGGATTAATTTTAAGCTTCAATAGATGGCATAAGGAATATTACAAGTACATCTACCATATGTATATTCACGGTTTAAGCAGAAACCGAGCCTCAATATTGTGTAAGCCAACTGAATTCACCCCCATTGTGGTAAAGCCTCGTGGCATTAGCATGTTACCCGTTTTTTGCGAAGATATTGCGCACAGTGATTACTTTTGCCTTGTTACGGCTTTAGGCGAGTCTTACTTGGGGTTCCCTTCCATTCCGAATAGGTAGAGAAATAAACAACGACAGAAAAAGTTCCCCTTATTATTTCAGAAGCATGTAATAGCTAATAGCTAATATTTAAACATGAAGCAACTTAGTTCGGAAGTATGAAAATACAGTCTTTCTTAATTAAAAAAATTAAAGATAGCTCGACGAAACTTTCCTCTATTATCGCAGAAGTTCAGGAGTTACTGTAAATATGGCCCTAACGGGCTTTAACTTCCCAGGGAAAAAACTTTAGCCGAAGAAAACTTGGGGTGTTCAAATATAGGTAGCTAATGATTCCGTACAATATCTGATGCATATTCTATTTTCAGATTGATTCTAAAAATAAAGAAGGGGATGAATGTATGAAAAAAAACAAGAAACTTGTCTTGTATAGTTGCTGGGTGTTTTTGATGTTCTACCTACGTAATTTATGTACGAGTATATTCTAAAAACGTGGCAGCTCTTAAAATACGACACATGGACTGATGTGAGTACCTCAGTAATTATGATAATCAACATGATAAAAAGAATAAAATATGCTATTTTTATTAAATTAAGCACACAGACTCCTAGTTTAATAAACGTACCTACATTGTGCATTTTAATACACCTTAACATTAAAACTTCAGACTGAAAGTTTTCTTAGAAT